CCAGCCCCCGGGCCCCATCTTGCTGCCCCCAGCACTTTCCCATCAGCATTATCCAGGCAGCAAAGTCCAGCCACGTCCAGAAGCTGGAGGAAGTCGCCCTCCCCGGTGCATCCCCGTTACACAGGTGCTGGCACGGGGCTGCCCCGGGAAACCCACCCCTGGCAGCACAAACCGACCAGGAGCAGGGACTGGGGTGGGTGACGGCCCCTCACCGCACCTGGTAGTAGTTGCTGAGCCCGTAGTGGCAGCTCTGGCGCTGGGCGCAGGCGCTGAAGTTCCAGCCAAAGCCGCAGGCCGGCCCCTCGCAGCCCGGCGAGCCCACGGCCACGCTGTCGTTCAGGCTGCCCGAGGCGTCCCGGACCACGCAGGCGCCTGGGGGGACACGGAGCACCCGCTCACCTCGCGCCGTCCCAGCAGGGCTGGAGCAAGGCTGGCATCTCTGCGCTGTGTCCACGACCCCCACATCCCCGTTGTCTGTGACATCCCCCAAGTCCCCACCGTGGGGCTGCCCCACTGTGCTGCGAGCGATGCTGTGAGCTGCGGTGCCCACACCTGGGAGGATGTTGCCCACCGTGGGGGCAAGAATGAGCTCTGGCACCTGCGGCACTCGCCCCGGGGTATCTGTGCTGGCATCCACGGCTTTCTCCCAGCTCCCACCATGTCCATCCTCCCAGGCCACCCATTTCCCACCCAGCTCACCTGAGGACTTACCGATTGTAGCAGAAAGCACCAGGTAGGACACGGTGGTCCAGAAGATGGCCATCAAGGTGCCCTTGGGGATGGCCACGGCAGGATCCTGCCCAAGGGAATCGCAGAGAGGTGTAAGAGCTTTCCAGCAGCACCACAAAATGGCTTTTTCATTGTGGCTGCTGTGCAGAGGAATTGGAAATCATTGCAACGTGAAGCCACAGAGCAGCTCTTGGCTGAGCTTTCCTCAACTTTTCCAGAAGAAATAAAATAGGATCTAAAAGCTGGATCAAAACCAAAGCCCTGGGGAGAAGAGAGCTTGAGCCCTGAGAAACGCCAGCTCAGGGAGCAACACTCCAAACCCACCTTCAGGTCACCCGAAATGTTGGCCCCAGCCAGGATGCCGGTTGCCGACGGGAAGAAAATGGAAAATAAGCCGAAGAAGGAGCCCTCAGGTCCACGCCAGTTGGGCACAAAGTTCTGGGCAAAGATCTCAGCTGGGGAAGAAGTAGAGGAGAAGCATTTGGGGCTTCCCAACCCCCTTTCTTTGGGCTGAAGCATCTCAGCCCTGGATGGAGGCACTACATGGTAGGTAACCCATGGGAGGAAGACACCGCGCTTTCAACAACATCTCTCAGTGAGGAGCATCTTCCCACAGCAAACTTCTCCCACAACAGCAGCGAAGAGCTGGGCTCTAGCGATGTGCTTGGACCTGTAACCCCAACCCATGGTGGACTCACCTCGGTAGCTGAAGAAGCCTTTGGATTGCTTCTCGGCAGTGGCTGGGATCACCGTCCCCACTAGGTAATTTATGAAGGAAACCAAGATGACCAGGAAGAACAGTATCTGTGCCTGCCACACCAGGAAAAGCCAGCTGAAGGGGTGCAATTTGGGCACCGAGAGGGTGAAAAATGCGTTAGGAGAAACCTTGGCCTGGTTTTGGGGAGCTATGGGCATCCTCTGCTCCCCAGGTGCCCGGTGGGCAGCAGGGATGGCTCTTACCAGCCCAAGGGAATAAAGGGAGCAGAAGGAGCCAGCGTTACCTTGGCCTCCCACTCCATGCCGGCCAGGGAGATGCCCAGCAGCACCGTCACGGTGACAACCCCGATGATGCGGATGTCGTTGGTGGGGTCCACAATGAGGGAGTTGTGCTCCTGGGGAGGAGGAACCATCCAGAACACAGAAATAACCCTTCCCCTTCCCAAACCCCTGGGGTCAAGCACTGGAACAGGCTGCCCAGGGCAGTGGTGGAGCCACCAGCCCTGGAGATATTTAAAAGATGGGTAGATGTGGCGCTTAGGGACATGGTTTGGTGGTGGACTTGGCAGTGTTGGGTTTACGGTTGGACTTTATGTCCTTGAAGGTCTTTTCCAACCTTAATGATTCTACGATTCTATGATTTCGGTGAGTTTTAGCAGCTGCTGGTTGATTATCAGCGGTCCAACTTAACACTAATATTGGTAATTAATGCTGGTTGTTCAGGGAGGAGGTGGGGCTGGAGGAGGTGGAGGGGACAGGACCCAGAGGACACACAGAGCCACTTTCTCACCTGCAGCAGATCCCGGACAGTTTCGGCGAAGCCCACGGTGTGCATGGC